CTTTCACTCTTGAGGATGTACCAACGAGTGCTCATAAAAGTGGACAGCAGCCCTATGTGCACGAAATTCATTTCCTAAAACCTAACCATCGCTCACAACATGATATGTTTAGCCTGTACTGACAATATAAGAGGACCTATGGAAGAATACTTGCCGAATTCATAAATTTCAAATCAGGGCGCTCCGAGGTAGTGCTCGCATCTAAAAACGAGATGTGGCAATTCCTTCTGGCGGAATTCAGAGCATTCGATAAGTGTAGCCGATACGCTGGCCATACGACTTTCTCAAAATAGCCAGGCATGTCTGGAGGATCATAAGTACGTTTAATACGTCGATTGTGGCAAGTTTCCTATAAAAAAGTCGTATCAGGGTAGAAAGAAAACGAAAGAATCGAATTTTCACCTTATCCAGCATGAGAAACATCACACGATCACATAGCGCTACGACTTGGGCCAGTTCCGTCACCATATTGCCTTCGACTACAGTATAGTCATAAGTAAGCGAAGCCTGAGAAGAACAAAAAAGGTCTGTTTTGATCGCTTAATATTTACAAAAACCAATAAAGCTCCCGTACCTACCTCTCTGATTGCATTGATGAGACCATTACGATCAACAGCAGTTATAGAATCATAGTCGTAGAAAAAAGCCGGCTCACTCCCTTCTTCTTGGTATATTTTTTCAACCTGAAACAACATGATTACAGCACACACAGGGAAACCTTATTTCAGAGTTCGGAGATTGGGAATTTTGTAAAAATTCAAAACAGTGAAAGTAGAATAGACTCGAAATATACCTTGTCTTCGGTGTAGAAAAATTCATCTTGATGAATTGAGTGAACCGTAGCACCGCCTTTCATAAGCTGAAACTATAGGAATTCTTCGCAAAAGCTGAATATCAGAAGCATTTCACCTTATTGCAAAGAATCTTAGTGAGAGTCGTCTTTCCCGAATTGGTGCAACCGGCGATGGCAAGTACTTTGCCCCTTGATCGAGCATCATTCGACTGGAGGCCATCGCCTGTTCCTCCCAGACCACCATTGACCGATGACATCGCCTTAGCAGCAATTTTGCCTGAAAGCAAACAAATCACTCAGAAATCGACTGGGAATCGCCTATAATAACGAATGCATATTTTCGCGAGGCCTGCTGCTTGGAAGTCAACGATATTTGCACAAGAATATCGTAATCAGGGGAGCCAATCGTCTAACCAGATGACTAGTGAAGAAGAGTCGGGTACCAACCTGTCACCAACGAAGAATATCCACGATATCTTGGAAATCCACGGATCTTAAGCGCTGCTGGCCAACTGGTCGCTCTGTGAACTGTTTTCTGAGGTAAAGAAGGTGTAGATTCGAAAACTCAGTCTCCCTAACATTCAAAAGAAGTCGTCGTGAATGTCTCCCAATGCTGGGGTCTAAAAGGAATGGAAAAGAAGGGAAAGTGAAAAAGTAAGCAGGAAAGACTAGGAGAGGAAAAATGAAGAAATTCAAAAGAAAGTTGTCACAGGTAAGTAACACTGCAAGAGAACTACCTCGACAATATTCGTTTTGAAAAAAACAATTTTTTTGCAGAGATGAAGAGATGTCCACATAATT